CACACTTACAGGCTTGGCAGTGCTACGCTTGCTAGCACCACAACTAAAAGAGACCTGCGGGTCATGATAGACCACAGAATGAACATGAGTCACTAATGTGATGCTGTAGCTGACACAGTGAACAAAACACTGGCATGTATCTATCGATGCATCTCAAGCAAGACTAAGGATGTGTGGTAGTAAATTTAGTCAGCCTTCTGACCTACTTGACTAGGAAAACAGACAAAGACCAGAAGTGCTGCTACTGCTTATTTCAGTTACATGTTCTGAGATAAGGATTCCTGCATGCCTTGTTCAGTTTAGATATATTACCCTGTACACAGATGTTTTCTTTAAGTAAACTGCCTGCATGTCTGCGTGATTTACCATCGTTTTGTTTCTCCAAGGTTGTATTTTTTTTTTCTTTCTCTGTCTTAAGTATAAATATGCTCGTAAACTTAAAGAGTCTGAGAAATCCTTTGAAACAGACAAGTGGGTGATTCCCCTTGCTGTATGGAATTCTCCCTGTGATCACAGTATAGCCCTAAATAAAGAAAAACTGGCTCTGTCAGTTCTGATTCAACCACAACGTGAAGTTTGATTTCTTCCACAGATGTCATCCTCCCACTCTGCTTGGCCTTGGTGAGACCACAGCTGGAGCACTGCATCCAGTTTCGGGCACCGCACTTCAGGAAAGGTGTGCAGAAGCTTGAGAGTCCAAAGGAGAGTCACACGCATGATTAGAGGTCTGGAGAGCAGGTCATATGAGAGGCTGAAGGACATGGGGCTGTTCAGCATGGAGTAAAGAAGACTTAGAGAGGACTTGGTGGCAGCCTATAAGTATATAAGGGGCGTACTTCAGGGCCTTGGGGAGCATCTATTCACCAAGGCATCCCAGAGGAAGACAAGAACCAATGGACACAAATTGCTTCAAGATCGCTTTAGACTGGACATAAGGAGAAACTTCTTTATGATTTCAGAGCCTAGGGTCTAGAACAGACTTCCCCCAGATGTGGTACAATCACCTACCCTGGAGTTCTTCAGAAAAACAACTTGACATGCACCTTGCTAGGGTCATCTGACCCCAGCAGTCTCTTCTGCTCAAGTGCGGGGGTGGGGGGCTGGACCTGATGATCTTGGGAGGCTCCTTCCAGACCCTAACTTCTATAAATCTATGAATTGTTAAGTAAAGTATTACAACTAAGTAGGTGAGGTGAGCAGAGACTTATAACTGTTTAGAAACCCTGAAGGGTTTGATTACATCTCAAAATACAGTAATCTATCATCATACACAGTATCTTACAAAGATCAGTTATACACATCCTTATGTGTAAGTGCTGATTGTACTAGACATAATAATTTGTAGTCCTACTGAGAAAAAAGTGGGTACAACACAAAGCATAAATGTTATGTGTAAAACTGAGCCATAATCTATCCCAATAAATGAACCACTGTGTCTGTTTAACTGGAAAGTCTTGCTCAGTAGTCTCCAACTGAGGTAAGAGCTAGGTTTGATACAAACCAACCTGAGATAGGGAAACTGTTCTTTCCATTAATATTTTTGTTTTCTTAAATCCAGGATCACTTTCTGCGAGGACATTCATGGTTTTCTTCCCAATAAATTCCAAAGCATCTAGGCCACCAGATAAGACACTTTTGCCCTGCATATAAAACAATGCAACATGTTTATCTTCTTCACATTATTTGTTAATGTAAAATTGTAGAAAATGGTGCTTTTGCTGACACAGTCTGAATGTTCAACTCCCTATAACTTCCCCACCCTGGCTAATAATAGGATCTATGACACCATTAATCACCTTGATTTGCTTTGAATATATTTTCCAGAAGAAAAAGTTCTATATAAAAGGTTTTCAATTTAATTAAGCAAAAACAGACTTACATTGTATGAAATTTAATAGCTTGTTGCCCATAAGAAATATGCCTAATAACATTTTTTTTAGTATTAGTATTGTTAATAAAAAGTTAGGAAAAAAGCCACCTTCATTTTGTACATGTGGGTGGCTCTGATTCTTCTTTTGATGGCATGCAGCAGAATACAGCAAATGCTATGAATAGAAAGGCTGAAGTAAAGGTCTGTTATGAACCTCTCATGCAACTGATTTTTTTATCTAATACCTGCAAGTGAACTGTGACAATGTATCATACTTACTCAATTAAAACACAATACCTTTCCTCCATTTAACATAGGGGAAAAGGTTCTTCATTCCAGAACTGAGTATGAGGTGGCAGGGGGCAGGCAGCTGCTGTGGCTCCAGCTCTGGCCTCAGCTGTGGGTCTGGGCCACAGCCACAACTGTTGCCTGCCCTCCACTGCCTCTGTATCACCCTCCACTCCTTCCCTGCAGCCTCAGGCACCCACTGCACCCAGCCTTCCCCTGGGCTGCTTCTCCCCACCATACTCCTCCTTACCTTTGCTTTAGTGCCAGCAGGCTCCATCCTTGCAGCCTGAAGCACCAGCCAAGCCCTGTAGTAGCAGTGCCAGCTCCATGTTGCTGCTACGAGGCAGAGCGGGAGCTGTGCTTAGTGCCCCAGGTTGCCATTGGGATGGAACCTGCTGGTGCCATAGCAAATTTAAGGGGTGAGGACCCAAGGCTGCAGGGGGAAGCAGCAGCCCAAAGAGAGAAAGGGGGTGATGGAGGAAGGAGGGCGAGGGAGGACCTGAGGCTGGGGAAGGCAGACACAAGGGGGGTAAATGATGGGGGACAGGTGGCAGGGGACAAATAGGAACAGAAAGCTTCACAGGCTAATAGCTTTGTTGTCAGTTCAGACTCCATGTTGACATATTTTGAAGTGCTAAGTTCAGTGTGGGAAACTTCCCCAAGGTCTCAGAGGCTGAGACTGTCCTGGCTGTCAACAGCAGAACACTGAAGGAAAATGTCTTTGGTTAGATGCAAAAGTTACTACGTTACCAGGGAGGGATCCTAAAATGTCCATCCTCCTCTCATAAAATTGATTAGCGTAATATAAGAGCTTTCTTGGACTTTCAACACTCATATAGGCACATCTTCCTTATTCTTTTTCATGCAGACTGGCTTCCTCAGCGCTCAGATAATCTTCCCCAGCATGAGCAAATGCTAAGTAGCTACAACTCTAGTGGTCCCAGTACAACCCTTTAGGAATGGTCACTGGAAGTCTTTCCATGATCCCAGAAACTTTAACTTTGAGAGGCAGGAAAATATATTCATGGTGTGCTAAGAACAGCTGGATACATATTGAAAGGGAACCCCACTCCCCTAAACAGATCTGTACAAAGGAGAGTCAACCTACTATGCACCCCAGCTGCTGCTTGCAAGCTTCTGCAGTTTCTTACTAGAACACAGTGCAAAAAGCCCAGAAAAAAATGAATGCAGTGGCAGTATTTTGTATGACTTGGAGGAGAATAAGATAGCATGTGAATGGATGTTGGAAATGTAATGGAAGAAACAATAGGATTTGACCAGAACTTGGATGCTGAGAATGAGTGAAAGAAATATATTGCAATGCAATACATAGATTGTGAGCCTGGGTGACAGGGAAATATGTGAGGAAGATGACAGAAAGGAAAGAAAGCTTTTGCCACATTGAGTTTCAGATGGCATTAGAATAGCTAGATAGTGTTGTCAGAGGGCTGATCTGAGATGTAAGACTAGGCAGAGAAGAAGTGAGGTAGGGAGGAATCAGAGATGGAACATTTCAAGTAAAAAAGCTTGAAGCAAGCAAATCTTGCATTGTCTTTTTTTTACCTATCAGCAAAAATATCAAAATCCCTCCTAGCAAAATTAATCATGAATGAATTGATTTTAATAAAAGTCACATGAAGTCACCATATCTGCACAAAGCTGATTTCCCAGGAGTTTGCATAGCTATCTGCAGTTTGGAAGCCAGACATCCTGCCAGATGAGTCTAGCCCTAAGCGTTTATCTTAAGTTGGCAATTTTCTTTGCTGCACTTTAAACTATTATTTTTGCTAGTTATTTTTTGCCTGAACATATTAAAGATGTTCAAAAACAGTTTTTTCAACCAGTCACAGAATTCCTCTCCTTTTCAAATATGACTTGCTAATACTTACAAGGAAGGGCACATAGAAACACTTGAGAAGACACAAATGAAGGCATATTTTAACTACTTACTGTGTTCTGAACAACATTAGTGATTGTTGACAACATCCCACGTGATCCAGGTGAAGGAGATGATGACAAAACATCAGCAGAATTCTGATCTGTGGCATCTTCTGCTTCTAAAAAAACAAGCCATAATGCATTTTGAATATTGCAGGTCATAAATCCCAAGAAACTGAATGACTGAATTCTGTAATCAAAATCTTTGAATTTCCAAATTGTATAAATTTGACAATTTGTCAAGGCCTTTTGTCTAGTTTGGACCACTGAACCACTTACGCATACTTGGGGTGATTTTTTCAGTTCCAGGGGGCTGGGCAGATTCTGAAGATGCTGAGTTAGAACTGTGAATTCGGAGGGTGGCTCCTGCCTTTTCCTTTACTGCTGTCAATCCATGACCTGTAATGCAGCAAACACATGAGAGAATCAAATATATTTCAGGTGCAAGTATGCATTTCTGTGGTTTGGAAACATACACATTAATTCTAAAAAAGATACTTTCCACAGGCATGAAATAATAAATAGGTGAAAACAGAAATACCAATTATACTTATTTTCTAGGTCAGAAAAATGGGATAGACCTTCATTTATTCATGACTTATTAACACATGCTCTGCTTCCTTCGTGCGTCCAATTAATTAATTATGAGTAAATGATTAAACTGAATTTGAATACAAATGATACATTTCTGGACCTTTATAAATCTTGTTTCAGTAACAGAGAACACTGCCAGTAACATTGGCCCAGATCTTCAAAGGTATTTCACTGCTCAGGCTTCAATCCATGACAGAATTTACCTTACTTCCATTTTTGGGACTTACATTCAGAATTTAGATCCTCAGAATCTTCCCAAGCTTCTCTTTAATGCGAGAGGTGTCTAAAGTTTGTAAGTGCCTACATTAACAACAGCAAAAGTTCTAGGTACCTAAAGTTTTCCTCCTAGGCAGGCTCCAAAGTGCCTCAAGATTTACAATTGTATGTACCTTTGCCATTTTCTTGGATGGGATCTCAATTTCAAGTATATTTGCAGAGCACACCTTTTGGCAGGGCAGAAGGAAAGGCAGCTTGGAAAGCAGCTTTCAGGTAATGTGGTGGGGAAGGACACCCTGCTACATGCCTAATAAATTGTGTCTGCCTTACCTGACTAGGAAAGGGCTGGGCTTTGGAAGGATGTAAGCTCCAGCTCCAAGATGAAAAGGCTAGGGCTTCCCAAACTTTTCCTCACTTGGAGACCACTGAGGGAATATCAGCTCAGCAGGGTGGTTGCAGCTCCTGAAAGCCAGCAGGGAGAGTACGGCCAGCAGTTTGGAGGTTTGGGGAGGAACTAAGGGGAGGAGGAGATTCCTCGAGACCCAGAGAGGGGTTCAGAGCCCAGAAAAAGGGGCTGAATGTATAGGACCAGAGAGGGGGGTCTGAGTATGGTGAGAGTTTGAGCGATATCAGGTGAAAATCAAAAAGTGGTAACACTTGATAGGCATGGGGCATGGTGTAGGGCCAGACTGAAGCCACGCAATTAGCTCATAAGGTGGGCACCACAGGCACCTGGTGGTCCTGTGAGTGAGAGAAGAGTGGGAAGCCCTTGGGCAGCCTCCCTTACACACACACACACACACACACACACACACACACACACACACACACACACACACACACACACACACACACACACACACACACACACACACACACACACACACACACACACACACACACACACACACACACACACACACACACAAAAAATTACAGCAAGGAGTGGTGGGCAATAAAAAGGGTAACTGCCTACAGTGAGCAGAGTGGACAAGTTAGGAGGGCTTCCAGGAACTTCATGGCCATCCCTGGAAGGACACCCTGCTACATGCCTAACAAATTGTGTCTGCACAAAATAGAGCCAGAGAAGCAGGAGATGGTGCTCCATTTTCTGCAGCTGCTCAGTGATTAGAACACTCACTGAGGATGTGGGTTCAATTCCCTTCTCTGATTAATGATATTTGAACCAGTCCTACACATTCCAGAAAAGTACTTTAATCCTCAAAAGACTGGATATTCTGAAATAAATACCATCCTTTCTATTGATGATGTTCCATTTAATGTGTCATAATTAAATATTAATTGGGCCACAGAGAGGGAGAGCGAGCGAGCACATGTGGTTACGGTACTTTCAGGGAAATGGAAGATTTGGATGCTTCACTGAATACTTAATATTAAGCAATGAAATATTCAGTGGAGCAGGGATGTCTGAGTCCCCACTGCAGATGAAGACCATTTATCAAAGAAAGCTGAGGATGCTTAACTTGTGGCATGATTAGCTCATGTCTCCCAACCCCCACTTTGCCTTCTCCCTCCCTCTCCCTGGGGAGAAAAAGAAGAAATCAAGAAAAAAATAGGGAGGACTTTCCCTTATGCCTGGGCCTTTCCTTCCTTAATTAACAGATTCTTATCTTGTTACTCTAAAAGTATCTCTATAGTACAGTTATGGTAGTGGCTATCAAGTGTTGACATTCCTGGGCTAGTTTTGAATTAGCTACCTAGCTTGATACTGACTATCATGTAGTTGCAGCAGCTTGAAAACCAATGCTGGCTAAAAAACCTGTCCAAGAAGACTGGTAAACACTTGGTCAATTAGCTTATACTGAAATCCATACCACCATGGTTATACTTCTCACAATATTCAGGCAGCTTGTATAAAGCTAGCTCAGATATGTCCACACAAGCCGAAGATACTATGGTGGAGATATACTCTAATTTTAACCCTCAAAGTATACCCTTCCCCAGGACAAAATTACTTTCACTGTGCACCTTAGCTATACATTTGAACCTTTGGACAGAAGTTTTTCTTCAAGTTAGACACCAAGAAAACCAGCATCACCCCCTGATTTAGTAATATACTAAACTTAGGTAGGTTATCTCACTGGCATCAATGAAAATATTCACTTGCTTAAAGTTAGGACTGCATAGGATTAAAAAAAAACTCATAGCTTCTCCCCCCATGAGTGTATTTAGGACAATGCCAACTACTTCTGAAAATCCCTACCTTGCTGAGTTAAAGCCCAAACATCCATAAAATAGTATTTATCCTGGGAAAAAGCCTTTTGTTCTGGGATCCTACAAAGTAACCAGTCCATTTGTATCTGTGACGTATGTGAGATAAAATGTGCTGACACTTTTTCCAAGGGACAGTGCTGTGTAGTCTAAGGCCATGTACAGATGTTCAAAAAGCCAGAGGAGGAACTGATCTAAGTTACGTGGTTTTCTCTTAGCTCCGTGTTCTTGGGGAACCCTGACACAGGATGCAGCCTGTCTGACTTGCAAAAAATTCCCCCCCCGACCTAAACAAAACTGATTAAGATGCAGTAGGAGACATACCCAAAGCCCTCCAGATAAGGGAGCAACTGCCCTAGGTCTCATTTGCATCCGAGATGGAACCAGATGACGATTCATTTACATGGGAGATGGAGAACAGAAGGCCCGAAGCAGAGACCACAGTGAATTCTGGGATCAGAGAAGCAGGAGAGCACTGCATGTTGGGGAATCTGTGCTCCAAATGCTAATCAACCCACATTTACACACACCCAGCTCAGCATTTATCAGACCAGTTCTAATCTGAATTTACAAAAGACACGCCCCCCTCCCCCCCCAAGCACAAGTAAAGTTTAATAGGCATCTTGGGCTGTACATTCCCTGGTCTCACTATGGGAAACCTATTTAAACTTGATTGGCTATAACTTGGTTGCCAGGTTAGAGAATGTGGAGGCAAAGAAACTGAGTCAAAGTGGGTATGGGCAACATTTAAACAACAATAAAGGGTTCATCACAGTGTCCAGCCCATTGGAGCCCTGA